ATTTATTTTATTTTATTTTATTTTATTTTATTTTATTTTATTTTATTTTATTTTATTTTATTTAATTTTATTTTATTTTATTTTATTTTATTTTATTTTATTTTATTTTATTTTATTTTATTTTATGTTATTTTATTTTATACTATAACATTGCTTTATTCCAACCCGACCTTAAGCTCAAAAAATTAATATAATACTCAATTAACGGCCAAACGCAAATAAAAAATAATTTAGTTTAATTGGATTTAATTTAATTTAGTTTTATTTTTTATTTTATTTTCTATTTATATTTTATTTTATTTCATATTATTTATTTTATTAATAGATGTCTGAAGTTTTTGGATTTAATTTTATTAAAAAGTTCACAACATCTATAATTACAAAAAGGTAATAATTGAATGAATAAAAAAAAAAAAAATAAAGGAAATTTCTACTGGCCGTGGGACTCGAACCCACTACCCCTCAGTTTATTAATCCACATTTTTATCCTCTGTCAAAGTATAATTTTGATCAGTTTATGCTCTAAATTAAAGTGAATTTCATCCTTCGATCCGAAGCTGCCGCCTAAAGAAAATAAGCCAAGAAAATATTTCTTAGACATCAAGCACTATTTCGCCTGTTAATGGAAATATTGTATAAAAAATAAGCCTCGATTTCTTCAATTTATTCAACAAATCCGTTATAAGGCGATTTTAAAAGTTTCCCTTAGCCTAAAAGTATAAGAAAAATTAAAAAAGCGATACGCAAAGTCTGTTTCTCATAATCGTTCATATTAACTCTTTATCTCTCTCCAACAATAAAATATTTGTTTTGATTTATTACGTTAACGCGATGAGGCGAATGAATGCTCCACGTGCAAATTCAAAACAAAGTGGGAGTAAATTTTGTTTCGTGAGCACTTCATTTCCATTCACCAATAGCAAAGCATTTCGTCGAGCAATCGACCCACCACTTATACAAAGTTCCCTGTAGTCAATGAAGCATTTTCGGTTTTGTGATTTATGTATAAGATTTGAGGTATTATACCTCCCGTCTATCTGTTTTCACATCTGTTTTGACTAATTTCTATTTATAAATTGCTTGATTTTTTTTAATATCAAAATTAAAAAAAAATATAAAAAATTAAAATAAATAAATACCAGTTATATGCAAGCTGAGCTGGTAACACCTCATTTACGACTGAAAACTCCTCTATTTCTGAATTTGAAAATTTTTAAAATTTCTTTTGCTTTGCTATGACTAAAATTAAAAAAAAATACTCTGAATTTCCAGTGAAATATCTTTAATTTCAACAAATATCTAATAATAAGTAGACTGCTGTCAAGGACCTTGTAAATTTCAGGAAAATTAAAAAAAAACGAATTTCTTTTGACCCTCGGTTTTTTCAGCTACGACTGCTATCCTATTCAGAATATTTTAACCATTCCAATTATTTCTTGTTTCCATGTCTTAATAAATTATCCGATAGAAAGTGATTTGGGTAGAAGGAAGAGGGCTTGAAGGGAGCCTATTACTTGGAAGGGATGGAATAATTGGAAAAACACTAGCCTAATACATCGACAGAAACTATGTAAAACCTTTTTTGCCAAAACAAAGTCAAATATTCAGAAAGTCGCTGGGTTCTCGAAATACCTCCTTATATTTGGTCGGTTTGAAACTCGAGTAGTTGTTAAAGGAACATATTTCTTTAGCTGAGGCAAAACTTAAAAATAAAATCGCCTATAAAAGTACTCCTAAAGTTAATATATGAGGCAATCTTCGTCAACTTAAGTCTCCCTCTCTCCAAAATTAGTTCAGGTAAAAAAAATCGGAAAATTCGTAAACATGTTTTCTTTTTAATGCTGAGAAATTCGTTACTCGGGGGTTTTTAGGATTGATGATTATGAATCTGATTATAAATTTTTAAAATCGAAATTGCGCATATAAGATATATTGCATTCGCCAGATTTGATCGAATTTAAAAAATGCTTGATTATATTCGTATAATTCGAGTAACAAATTTGCAGTGAAAACTCGAATAATTTTCGCACTGAGTTCCATTAAACAATCAATCAATATACATACTACTAGTTCTGCACCAAAATCAATTTCATCAGTTTAAGTTTTCCCTATAGGGCAATCTTATCTAATGCGAATAGTCAATAGACAACACTTTGTTTTTGTTCGCTTCGTTTCATTCTCAATTAATTCCGCGCTAGTTAAATATATTTTCTGCTTTGTTATTGTCTGTTGCTATTCTTCTCT